CGCCCCCCCCCCCCCCCCCCCCGTTTACACAGATCCAGTCTAGAAAACATACAGCCATTCAAAAAGCAGATTGGATGGAGGCTAGTTGGCTTTTAAAAAATCGAGAGAATTTCATACTTCATAAATGGATTCACACAGGACACAGATTTCTTTGGAGGAGTAGTTCTCAAGGGAGTGATTTTTATCTCCCAGGGACATTTGTCATGTCAGGAGACACTGTTTGGTCATTATACTGAGGGTGGGGTGCTACTGGCCTCCTGTGTGCAGAGACCAGGTGTGTTGCTGACCGTTCTGTGACACACAGGACAGCCGTCCACCCCACAACAAAGATTATGCAGCCCAAAGGGCGACATGCCAGGCCGCCGGAAACCCTGCTGTACAGAGTGGGAGGCTTATAAACTTGAAACAGAATAAACTGACACAAAAGCGAGATGTGGTTCAGGAAGACAGATTCTGCCATGTGAAGGGACCCCAGGCCACTGAGTGGGCACCCTGCAGGGTGCCAGGATGTCTCCAATGTGGCTCAGTTGCCCACAGCTGGGATGACTGGCAGAATAATGGGGGCCATTACTCTAGAGGCTGCACACTGGGAGGCCAAAGAGGGAGAGCAAGGGGCGACTTCCTGGAAGTGGCTCTGTCCTGGAAGCTCTGCCAGCGTGGAAGAGCTCGCCGCCCTGGCTGTGGTGAGCAGACCTCCAGATGGCTAGCCTCTGGCTGGGCCCCACTCACCTGGAGAGCATCGTTGATGTTTCCATTGTAATCCACCATCTCGCCTTTCCCGGGTTCTCCTTTAGAGCCCTAGAAGGCAATGAGATCTCAGCCCAGAGCTCGGGCCAGGAGGGTCCCAGGGGCAACTGTTGTCTGCCTTCTACCAAATAGGGACTGCTGCTGATTTGGCTCTTGTGTCTGCACACAGGCGGCTCCAGAGCAGCTGAACGAGGCCTGTCTAGGGTTCCAGATGCTCTCAGAGGGTGCTCAGGGATGACAGAACGAAGACCCCAGCTAGATGCTTGGACTAGACAGACTTGGAGAAGACCGAGTCCAATCATGGCTGCAGTGTCAGTCCTACCTGGGGCCAGAATGCTCTTCCCTCCCTCCCCCTGAAGACTCCAGAGTCAAGCCACTTCACACTGTGACTCCTGGCTGCCATCTTTCCTTTCAGGAGAGAAATGCACGTACCTTGGGGCCAGCTGGGCCCTGTCCTCCAGCTGCTCCAGGCTCCCCCTGTTGCATAAACAAAACTGGAGTGAAATTCAGATAAAGCTGGGTTTCAGAGAATCCGATGTCCTCAGATGGGCTATGGAGGCACCAGGAGGGTCATCCTAGATCAGGCCAACAGCACACGCACCTCCCTGTCCATTAAAGTGCAGGCTCCGCCCCTTCAGGAAACAGCCCCTGAACCCCTGTTCACATTCCTCTGTCCCTCTGGGCCCCTCCTGCTTCTTTCTGTCCTGTGTTAGCTGTTAGTGATTCCCCTTTGTCCCTTGGGCCACCTCTCCCCAGTCACATAAGTCAGCTCCCTCGGGAGCAAGGACCAGGCCCTTGCTTGTCTTCATTGCCTTTCTGCCCTGGGAGAAAGGGCTACGTTACTTTTGGCCAATTGCTTGATCAGTAATTGCCGTGGGGAGCCCATGCAATTCTTTCAGGGCCCAGTCTGCTCGAGAAACTCCCAAGCTCTGGGGATGCATGGAGAATGAGGAGGACATGGGCAGTGAATACCCAACCCCTCAGAGAGGGCAGTAGAGGGGATTGTTCCTACAGGGAATAAGCCGTGGTATAAACTGTGAAAAACTAACCACAGCTCCAGTTTTCTGAGATAATGCTAACACTGAAGACAATACAAATAATCAAAATAGAAAGTAAATGCATCTTCGGTATAACCCAACTCCTGAAGACCCTGCAGGCGGCCTGCTGCGCAGCGTCCAGCCACTGCCACCTCCCACCCCTGCACCCCGCGTGGTGGTCATCGTGCACCTGTGAGGGCCACAGCAGCCTTCCACAGGGAGTAGTGCCGAGAGCAAGAAGCCCACCAGCACCATTACCAGTGGTGTGGGAAGCTGCCAGAAGCCAGCTCTGAGTCACCCGCAGCTCAAGCATCCTATCCCTGGGCTGGCTTCTGTGTGACTGCTGTCTATGTGGATAGCTCTAAATCCAAACCAGGCAGGAAAGATGGCAGCTGGGGACATGCCCGCTCATTCTTGTGCCCTGGGACCAGCCCGAGGGCTGCTTGAGCCCCCAAGCAGACTCCCCCTGCAGCTCTCAGATGTGGGGCCTCTGTACCTTGTCTCCTTGCTGTCCTGGGGGACCAGGTTGACCATCGACACCTGCTTCTCCCTGGAGAGGAGAGAGAAGGGGTGAGGGCACGTAAGGCAGCTGGGACAGCTGCTTCATGGGGCAAAGATGTGCCTGCTGATACGCTCTGGGTGTCTTTGCGTCCCTTTTCTGTCCACCCTGCCACCTCCTAACTCATCCAGTTCCCCGACCTGACTCCTTGGCATCTTGGGCCAGCTTAGGTCTCACTTGGAAGCCCTCCCTGTTTATCCCCTTCCTCCTGAATTCTGGGGCATTTGCTGGTGTCCACCATCCCTGCCAGGTCTTCCTTGGTTCATGGTTAGCACAGACAGGCAGCCCCCAGCTGGGCCGTGGATTGCCATCAGCCCGGCGGCAAGGAGGCAGGTCATCTTGGAGCCTGGAACACTGAGCAAACATGCCTCATTGGGTCCTGTCAGGAGCCTGGGAATGTGAAGGCCCTGGATACTCAGGAGGAGCCCAAGAGGCCAGGATAGGGGGTGCAGGGAGAAGGAGGAGGAGGCTCACTCCACCTACATTGCTTATTAGACATTGCTTCCCCACCCCGGGAGTGGATGCGATTTGGGGAGCAGAGTTGCCTAGCTTCCCCTCCCATGTCTCAGGATGCAGGTGAGAGTGACCAGGTCTCCCCAGTCTCATCTCAAGACCTAAGATGTGCCAGGCATCCATGCCCCGCAGGTCAGTGAAACAGATCCAGTGCTGGAACATCCGGGACCTGGTGGCAGGCTCAAAGATGACGAATCTGGACCTCATGCTGGAGAAGCTGCTCCAGCTGCACATGGGGCTTAGCTGAGAGCCCTGCTGCCACTTCTTGCCTGCTCAGGGACTTCACGGCTCCCTACACTGTGCCCAGGTGAGTAGTGGTTTTGTTTCTGTTGCTCGATGGTGGACAGGCCGAGGGCAGGCTCCCCACAGCTCCCTGCCTGAGCTGGCTCCTGATAGAGGATGGGGTGAGCGGTGTACTGCCTTAGATCGCATCATTTATGCTTCCTGGTGAGCTAAGAAAGAGGCCTCTTTATTTCCCTATGCTGCTAAAGTAAGCCAAGGAACCAGGGGGCAGCAGTCTAGGAAGCTCCACAGCTTTGTCTTTGTCTTTCTTTCTTTCTTTTTAAGGTTTTTGCCATAGGGCATGTGCACTCACTAGAGAGAGAGAGAAAGGAGGGAAAGGGAGAAATCATCCCTGAGGAGGGATGGCTACACTACAATCCCTTCTCCATTCTCCTCCTGAGATTTTAGGCACACACGCACATGCGTCTGGTGTGATCTTCAAGTCGCCTGGTCTGAGATTTAAACCGCCTTCAGCCACGCGCAGTCCAGCACCTTAACTACTGCGCCACTTGCTGGAAGCCCCACACCTTACACTAAAGTATCCAACCAGCAAAAGGGAGTGTCTCCTCCCCTGCCCCTCCCAAGGGTGCCAGCACCAGGTAGGCCCTGCTGCGCATTGACCTGCAGCCTATTCAGAGCTCAGGGAAGGGACATTTCTGGCTGCTGTAAGGCCTTGTGGCCATCAGTTCCCTGACTCATTCCTATTAGAGCCCACTAGGTCCTGAGGCCGTCGGTTCCTGACTCCTATGAGACTCAGCTTCATGGCATATGATGTACTATATCTTACATATATGGTGTATATATATTATATGTCACCATTGGCCACAGAACCTGGATGGGGACCAGTCACACCATAGCCACTGAGGTCCTACAGCCGTTGTCCCAGACTCCATTACATTAGTCATCGGAATCAATGAGGTCATTCACCTGCTCCAGGGAGGACATCTCTCCTGGAAGGCCAGTCACCTGCTGGGCAGCAGGAGCTCAGTCCAAAGGACTTTTCTAGAATGCACTGGGGGAAGCCACATATCTGGAGCAGGAAGAGGCTAGAGAATGAGGTATCTAAGACACAGAGCCCTGAGAATGGGCTGAAGATCAAGGCCACAGGCAAACATCTCCCCGACCCTGATTCCAGGGAAGACTCACCTTTGGCCCTGGGGGCCCGGGGAGCCCTGGGGGGCCAGGTGCCCCTCTGCCGCCTCCAATGGAGTTGCCAGCATCGCCTTTCTCTCCCTGGGGGTGGGAGGTAGAGTTACATCGCTGTCACAACCTTGCTCGAGTAGGTGGCTGATCCCTTGCCTTTTGCTTTCTCTTCCCACAGTTCCAAGGCCTGAAGCCAGCAGGTGCCACCCCCCCTCAGTCGAGGCTGAAACCCAGAGGGACGCTAAGGGACCTGTAGGCTCCAGGATGGCTGGGGATCAGAGGTCTGGTCTGACCTGGCTGTGGATTTGGGGAGAGAATGGAGCTGGTTACCAAAGGGGCACAGCTTAGAGCTGAATCAAGGGACCCCTGAAGACCTGGATCTAGAGCAGTGTTTCTTAAAGTATGCTCCCTGGAACTGTCTTCCAGAAGGTTGGGGACGTCGGAAAGATGGAAAAGCGCCTGGTGGCTAACAAAGTTAGGACATGAGGAGGTAAATGAAGAGGCCGGCTCCTTCACTGCAGGGGGGATGCACTGAGACTGCAGACTGCCTTTTGCAGCTCTCCCCAAGCTTATTTGACCTCAGCTATTAAAAACTGTTTTGGGACCAGCAGTTGGAGTAATGGTTATGTCGCTGGATTCCCATGTAGTCGACTGCAGTTCGAGTCCTGGATCCGGTGGCTTAAACACACGTAGGGTGCGTGTACGTGCACGTCCAAGATCCTGAGAGGAGAATAGAGGAGGGGGGATTGTGGAATGGCCATCCCCCCCGGGGAGCGGTTTCTTACTTTCTGTCTCTCTGTCTCTTTGTCTTTCTGGCAAGTGCACAAGCCCTATAGCTAAAACCTCTCAGGAAAAAAATAAAAATGAAAATAAATTTTAAAAACTTGTTTTAAACGGGGGCCAGCAGATGGCGCAGTAGTTATGTCACTGGACTCCCACATAGCTGACCACAGTTTATGTCCTGGACCCCGTGGCTTAAAACTCATGCTGGGTGCATGTGTGTGCGTGCCCAAGATCCCAGAGGAGAATGGAGGAGAAGGGACTGCCCTGGGGGGTGATTTCTCGCTGCCCGCTTATTGTCTATGTCTCTCTCTCCAGTAAGCACCCTAAGGCAAAAACAAAACAAAACAAACCCCCAAACAAAACCAAATCTCTAAAAATGGTTTTAAAGGAAACATCTAATTTAGCCTGTGGTGTGTGGAGATGGTCTAAAAACATCTGACCAGGTCACAGCTACTGGTCAGTCAGGTCCTACCTTGTGGCATCTCTGGCCACACAGAACCTGGCTGTGCTCCGGCAGCCATCCTCCCGCCTGCTCCCCACCCACCGCCCCCAGTCTGGGAGAGGGACACCTCCAGTGCCTGCCATGAGTCCGTGCAAGGCCGGGAATGGGATGTGGTGGGGTAGGACATGGAACCTCACAGACAACCCGCCGTTCAGAGCCTGTCGGTACCTACCTTCTGCCCCAGGAGCCCAGGGAGCCCAGGGGAGCCCATGGCCCCCTTCTCACCCTGCAGGGAGATGCAGACAGAATAGGGTTAGGAGCTGCTCCCCCACTTACTTGGGGCCCTGCTTTCCTCATTACTGCCTCACCGCCTGCTCCTTGCACCCCCTCTGAGGGCTCCACCTCCTCAGGGACTCCCTCCTGGCCTGGTTCCCTTCCTGGGTCATTCACACTGGTGACAGAGGCATCTCCACTCTCCTCCATGTCCTGGGCCCCCACCACTCACACGGAAGCAGGAGCGACACTGGCCACAGATCCTAACAAAGGCCAGAGGCGTTTCACCTCTTTTCGGGGGCAGTTTGGAATGCTGGCAGTTGGGCCGGTCCTCCTAACCACTGCACTCTTTCTCACGTGGTTAGCCAGCAGTCAGAGGCCCCATCTTTCCAGCCCACCTCCTCCCTGCTTCTAGAAAAGGCAAGCTGCCTAGCCGGAATTTCTCCTTTGTAGAAATATTTTAGGAAGCTCGCATCCTGCTATGGGTTGAATTGTGCTCCCTCACCTAAATTCAAATGTTGAAATTCTAACCCTCAGTACCCCAGAATGAGCCCTTATTTGGAAACAGAACCATTGCAAATGTCTCAGTTAGGATGAGGTCACACTTGAGTAGGCTGGGCCCCTGATCCAACGTGCTGGTGTCTGGATAGATAGAGGGATTTGGAGGCACACACGCAGGGGGAGCGTCAAGTGAAGGTGGCGATAGGAATCGGGGTGATGCCTCCACAACCAAGGAACACCAAAGACTGCCAGTAGCCACGGCGGTGATGGGAGAGGCCTGGAGCAGTCTCCCTCACAGACTCAGACGGGCCAACCCCATCCACTCCTTGGACTTGAACTTCCAGAACTGTGGGAGAATGCACTTCTGCTGTTTGGGCCACCCAGCCCGCGGCACTCTGTCATGGCAGCTCTAGCAAACTAACAGGCCTCCCTACCAGCCCCTCCACTGCTGGAGAGCGCCTGCTCTTCGCCCTATCACATGCGTCGTGGAGAGCCCCGCAGAAATACCTGAGCCTGGTCTCATTCCCCAGGTGTAGCCAGCGAGGGCCTGAGAGGTACGTGATTTGTGGGTGGTCCCTCACGGAGCTGGTGACAGAGCCGGCCCAGCCCTCGGCTCCCTCCACTCACAGAGCAGCTACAGCAGCCAGCCCAGGCTGCCATCACGACATGCCATCATGCGGGTGGCTTAAGCTACAGAAGTCTATTTTCTCACAGTTCCGGAGGATGGGAGTCAGGGTGCCCCGTGGCCAGGTTCTAGTCAGGACTCTCTTCTTGGCTTGTGGGACACTGGCCTCTTTCTGCACCCTTACATGGCAGAGAGAGAACGACCTCTGTATCTTCCTCTTTATAAAGCCACCAACTCCATTGGGTCAGGGCCCCACCTTGATCATCACTGAGCCTTACTCCTAAAAGCACCCTCTCCAAATACGATCACACTGGGGGGCAGGGCTTCCACATATGAACTGGGGTGCAGGACACAGTGCAGCCCAGAGCAGCGCCCAATGTCATGAGCACCCCAGGAGCACCCTACCAGCATCAGGTCAGTATGAGGCGTTCCCCTCTCCATGGCCCTGAGGAATGGGGGTTCTCTCCTGTGATAATATAAACTGAGGGCCCCAGGGTCATAATTTGGTCAAACAGCTCCATGAACTTTATAGCTGGAGCCATAAAGATGCTGCACCAAGTTTTGGGGAGTCAGCTCCATATCATAGCCCTTGGGTAAAAGCTGAATGGTGAAGTGGCCTGAAGTTGGCCAAGGGAGGCTGAGAAAGGCCAGGCTGGGGCCCGGGTGAGGGGAGGCCTTCTGGGCACTCCTGGGGAGAAGCCTTAGCCTGGGTCTTCCCCAGAATCAAGCCAGCTCTAAAGGCAAAGGATGCAGATCCAGCCTGGCGAGATCCTTGGGGAGAGGGAGGGAGGCGGGGTCCTCCTGCTGGGCCTCCTGCTGGGCAACTGGTGGCTTCCAAGGAGGGTGGGCCTGCTCCTGAGAGCAGATTTCCAAAGCTCTGCCAGCCGCCCCGTCGCGCCCCTCGTCCGGGACACATGCACCCACAGCACCCCGCAGGCAGGGCAGCAGCCATGGAGGGGACAGGGAGCAGGGAGCAGCGAGGCCAGGAAGAGGGGACACACTCAATACACAGTATCCTACCCTCTGCCCCCTCTGTCCCGGCAAACCTGGGGGCCCCGGCTCCCCTGCTGCTCCTGGGTCTCCCTTTGAGGTAAGAAGAGAAAGTCACTGATAAGAGAAGGGGGCTGCGAGGTGAGGGGGCAGGTGAGTGGTGATCATAGACCCACATTCACAGGATACTTGTCCCATGAGCTTCTCCTAACAAACAGGGTGTCCTGGTCAAAAAAGTTTGAAAAATGTTGCATATGATAATTTCCTTTTTCAGGCTTGTCTGCACATTTGGCACATGAAAGGCTCTGAGAAAGCCTGCAGCAAAGAAACCTGTGTAATCCTTGAAACCTGGTCTGTCTGTCTGTCTGTCTGTCTTTCTTTCTTTCTTTCTTTCTTTCTTTCTTTCTTTCTTTCTTTTTTTGCAGAGGTTTTTGCTATAGGGCATGTGTGCTTTCCAGAAAGACAGAGAGAGACATAGAGACAGAAAGCGAGAAAACACCCCCCAGGGGGGATGGCCATACCACAATCCCTTCTCCTCCATTCTCCTCCTGGGATCTTGGGAACACACACACACACACACACCTGGTGTGAGTTTAAGCCACCAGGTCCGGGATGCGAACTGTGGTCGACTATATGGGAGTCCAGCCACACAGTCATTACGCTAACTGCTGGTCCCAAAATTTGTATTTCTCAAACTTATTTGACCAGGGGAACTTTTTTTCATGTCACGTGGCCTACTGTCCTAGACGAGAGAGAAAGAGAGCCGCAGGTGTAGGGGACAGTCACTGCCCACTCCAGCTGGATGCATGCAGGCCAGGGGCCAGGACGAGGGAGGTGTCTGCAGTGTGCTCCTCTCAAGCAGGCCCTTCTGTGCTCAGCCAGGACCCCAGCCCCGGCCAGCCTCAGGGGGCCCACGAGCAAAACAGCAGCAGCCTCTCCCACCTCCTCCTCGTGACCAGGGCTCCATGCAGCCCAGAACGTTCCCTCTGCAGCAGTACCTTGGCTCCTGTGGTCCCTGGCTCACCCTGTGGAGGGGATAAAAGAAGTAAGTGAGAGAGAAAAAGGGACGGCCACCGGGGCTTTCCTCCAGCCAGTGTCAGGCCCCAGGCCAGAGGAGGTCTGTCAGGCTGCCTACTCTTGCAGGGTCTCATTCTTCCCCTAGACCAAGGGTGTGGCAGAGGTGAGCAAAAGTGAGCCACCCCAGGAAGAAGGAGGGCACTCAGTTTAGACGAGGTGCCCCCTTAAGTGGACCTGTGCCAGAGATCAGCACTGATCCCCGTTCTTCCAGAGCCTCCACCTGTGTCTGCCAATCGGATGGGCCCTTGGGTGGGCTTGGGAGGAGGCCCCCAGCTCTTCTCTGCAGCTTTGGAAACAGCTGGGCTCTAGAGC